ATAAGTGTTTAATTTTTAATATGTTCCAACCATCTATTTTGTCCACTTTTGTTTGTGTCATTTTCAAACTGTTGGTAGTCTGTGTATGCCCTGAATTAGAGCCCTCACATTTGTCCCTATTTGTTCACTGATTACCTTCATAATATTGGGATTCACATTAGGTCTTTAATAAATTTTTGGATAGGGTGTGAGGTAAAGGTTTTGTTTTAATGTTTTGCATGTTGCTTTCCAGTTCTGCAAGCACTGTGTGTTAAAGAGACAATCTCCTCTCCATGTAATATGCCTAGGCACTTTGTTGAAAATCACTTGGCTGTATGTGGATGGGTTAATTTCTGGATTCTTGATTCTGTTCCATTGATCAATGTATCTTTTATTGTACCAGTATCAGGCTGTTTTGAGCAATGTAGCCTTGTAGAAAATTTTGAAATCAAGAAGTGAGAGGCCTCCAACCTTGTTCATGCTGTTAACACTGTAAAAATTTCCTTTGAGGTGTTAAAGCATCCTCCCTATAGTCTGGATCTTGCTCCATTGGACTTTCACCTATCTGGTCCTCTGAAAACAACTTTTCAAGGATGAAGATTCACCTCTGATGAGGAAGTGGACACAGCAGTGAATTTGTGACTGTCAGCTCAGCTTAAAACATTTTTTAAATGAAGCAGTACAAAGGCTTGTTGACAGATGGACAAAGTGTATTGAAAAGCAGAGATTATGATGAAAAATGTATTTGCTTTTCTAAAAGTTGATTAACATAAATTCTACAGCCAGAGTATGGATAATTTTTTATTCACTTTATTGGGTGTGCATAAATATTGTTAAGTGCCCTTGATTCTGACTCATAGCAACCTTGTATTGGGTTTCTGAGGTGTGGATAATGGATTTGAACTACTGGATTTTCAGTTTGAACTGACCTTGCTGTTTAGTGCTTATATTATGTTGTTTTATATATATATATATATATATATATATATATATATATAACCTTTGCCCCCCAAATTTTGTGATCTTTGATTTGTCATATGGCAAAATGGCAGCTTTGACATCCTCAAAGGATTCAAATTATGCTGCTTTTAAATGTTCTCTGATTTTGGGAAACAGAAAATTGTGAAAAAGCAAGACCAGATCTGTTCAGTGGATGGGGTGAAGTTTCCTAATGGAATTCTTAGAGAGCAGTCCATACTAGCCTAAAAAATGAGAAGGTGCATTGTTGTGATGGAAAAAATTTCTTGACACAATTTTCCTGGCCCTTTTCACACCAACGGAGTTTTCAATTTTCTTTAAATTTCTTCCTAATTTGTCCCCATGATAGTCCTGTTTCTTTTTTAAAAAAGAAAATCTATCAAGATTAGCACTTTGGAGTATACAAAGGTAGTCTCTATACGATAAACTTCTGAGTTGAATGCTAAATCATGAATTTAACTAGCCTCCTATTGTTGTTGTTAGGTGCCATCAAGTTGGTACCAACTCATAGCGACCCTATGCAAAACAGAAGAAATACTGCCCAGTCCTGGGCCAACCTCACAATTGTTGCCTCTCTTGAGCCTACTGTTGTTGTTGTTGTTGTTAAGTGCCGTCGAGTCGGTTCCGACCCATAGCGACCCTGTACAGGGTTTCCGAGGGGGTAAATCTTTACCAGAGTACAAAGCCTCATCTTTCTCCCGCAGAGAGGCTGGTAGTTTCAAACCACTGATCTTAAGGTTCGCAGCCCGATTCGTAACCACTACGCTACCAGAGCTCCTTCTTGAGCCTACTAGATCCCCTTAAAAGTCATTGTTTTGAATGGATCTTGATTTCTGGATCGTGTTGGTAAATCTAATATTCAATTCACTACATAAAATTATTTTCATGACATTCGTTCATGCTTAAAAACCTGATTTAAAGATCAGACCTTTTAGCTAGCTCATTTTTATGTAGCTAGCTCTGGTAGCACAATGGTTATGAATTGGACTGCTAAATTCAAAGTCAGCAGTTTGAAACTACTAGCTGTTCTGTGGAAGAAAGATATGGCTTTCTTCTCCTGTAAAGACTTACAGCCTCAGAAACCCTGTGCAGGGTCACTATGAGTCGGAACTGACTCCACGGTACTTAACAACAACAACAACATTGGCATCCACTGAGCAGAAAACCTACTGAGGCTAAAATATTCACTTAAAATTGAAAATGCCAAACCATGTGAGGTGTATACATAAGTAACAAGAAAAATAACAAGGTTCTTTGAAAGAGCAGATGAATATTAGCTTGTAATTTTCAATTATATGGTAAAAAGCCAGTTTTATAGGTGGTTACATATTGGGCAGCTAACTTTATGGCTCTTCCTTGGGAGCCTAATACAGAGTCTATGTGAGTCAGAACTAACCTCACAACACACAACAACAAAGTAATAAAAACATTTTTAAATGACATCATGTGGTCAGAAAATGTTTATTGAATGACCAAATGTATCAGGCACTATTTTAAGTCCTGATAATATAAAACCAGAAGTTCTGGTGTAGTGATGTAGGATAAGCAGTGGCCTGATAACCACAAGGTTGGTGGTTCAAATCTACCAAGTACTTCTCGGAAACCCTATATAAGGTATCAAAGAGTCACAACTGACTACACAGTACTTAAAAACAACAACAACAACAACAACCAGAAAGATGTCAATGTTTGATGCCTGTAAATAAATTCAGGTTCCCTACAGCATGATGGCTCTGTATGATAAGCACTGGACTGTAAACCACAAGATCAATGGTTCAAACCTACCAGCTGCTCTGTAGGAAAATGGTGAGTCTTTCTCCTATAATGATTTAAAAAGCCTCATAAACCCTATATAACTTAGCAACCACCACAATGTGGCATTTAAATTCTTGGGAAATGAATCCTCCTCCATCCCTGTTTTCCACACTCATCAAGAGATTTCACCAATATCTCTATCAGTTTTCTACACCTATTTTCATCAGCCTCATCCTTACCCTTGTTGTCACACTCATTTTAATTAATATTGATTCTGCTCATGCTTCTATTCTTGGTTTTCACCCCAAAATAATTTTTCACCCTTTACACATCTGTTATTTCAGAACATCTCTATTGACTATATACCCCCAGACCACATTGATCATGATTTTCTGAATTCTCAAACACATATACCCAACACAACCCAAACTTCTTTGTGCATAATTTACATTGCTTTCCAAGTCCTAAGTGTCTGTCCAATTTCCTTATTATATTTTAAGTACTTTGTAATCAACTGTGACTTAAGTTTCTATGAAAGGAGCTGTAAAACAGTCTGGTAAAAACATAATTGATTCAAATCTTATCTCCATTCTGGATATCTGCACGTATTTAGGCAAGCTACTTAATATTTCAAAGTATTAACTTTTTTTTTTTACTCTGTAAAACATGAGATATGTTGCTTAACATTGGAAGACAAAAGTTTACCTTTGTGTCAAGCAGAAAGTGGGTTCTCATTAGACCACTTTTATCCTTTAATATTTGCACATTGAAGTGAATATTAAATAATTTTGGTTTTGTTTAGATTTTTATGGTTTTCGAACTTATTTATGTTGAACAGTATCCTCAGCTTTTTCTTAGTGCTAGTAATAGATCAATAAACACAAAGAGAAAGTGGGATAAGGAATGTTATATTGGGAAGGATCACAATCAGTGAGATGACCAAAAGTGTATAAGATTTGTTGAATGTAAAACTGATAATTGGCTCTGTAAATGTTCACATAATTCACAATAAAGTGCTTATAATTTATTTATATTAGAATTAGTGCAGGCTAGTTCTCTGCCTAGTAGCAAACAAGACAAGTAATGATGTCTGGGCTGGGGGTGGGGTGAGGGTGAGGGTGAGGAATGATGATGACTGAATTAATCGGTATATTAAAAAATTACACTGTCATGAATCATGAACTATTATGAAACTATCTGAAACATTTTCAATCCGTATGACTTTCAGTATAAATAAAAATATCTATCTTTCAATGAAAGATAGATACACTGCTATTACACAAGCACTTTGTTTCAGAGAATGATGGGGAAAAAAACGACTATAAAGAAGATTTTGCTGATTTAAGAGTACATATTCTGTACTGGACTTCTGGTGTGGTGCTATAGGATCAGTGCTGGGCTGTGAACCACTAAGACTGCAGTTCAAATCCACTAGTTGCTCCTAGGAAACTGTATACAGGGTTGCTATGAGTCAGAACCAACTTGGTGGTACTTAACAACAACAACAATTCTGTATAAAAGGAGTCTTGCTAGTGTAGTGGTTATGAGTTGGGCTGCTAACTGCAAGGTCAGTAGTTTGAATCCACCAACCACTTTGTGGAAGAAAGATGAGGCTTTCTGCTCCTGTAAAGATTTATAGCTTCAGAAATCCTGTACACAGGTCCCTATTAGTCAACTGGAAGGCACACCACCACCATTCTATATAGATCCATATTCAAACATAAACAACAACTCAAAGAAACTTGAGAATCGAATCCAAATACACATTTTACTTCTGATAGATGATGTAGCTTAAGTAACATGAGAACTTAAAATTTGTGTGACTTTGTAAGCTGATACTTAGGAATTCCATAAATTTGTCAACAAAGAAGGGAGGCCTTTATATATGCTGACTTTTCTTCCTAGAATTTGTTGACTATGTTGAAAATTGTAGATAATTCTACTCTGACAAAATTTATGAGTAGTCATTTTAATTAAATCCTAAACGTGGTGTCTCTATACGATAAACATGGGTCTTTCAACCACAAGGTCCTCCTTCAAGCCTGATTTCTGATCCCACAATGATTTTAAAAGCCTCGGGACTAACTCAACAGCACTAAACAACAAGAACAAGACATCCTAGTAGTTTAGATTTTGAAACAAGGTTTAGCAAAATACCTCCTCCCTGAACTTATTTTACCATTTATACATTATTTGACTTAAAGTAACTGTTGCTTACTGATTTAATACTTGATGTTCAAAATGACCATTTTCTAAGTATTGACTTTGAATAGTTTATCTAGTTAAAATCAGTTTATTATAGGGAATGATATCTGTTTCAGAATGCTATGAGGTTTCCTCTTATTTATGATCTTTTTAATAGCATTTATGACTTCCTTATTTCTTAGACTATAGATAAAGGGATTTAATAAAGGAATAATTAGAGTATAAAAAATAGCAACAGGTATATCTTTATCCCCTTCTTTAGCTGAACTTGGCCGAATGTACATGAAGACAAGGGAACCGTAGAACAATAAGATAGACAGAAAATGAGATGCACAAGTAGACAAGGCTTTGCCTCTTCCCTCTTTGGATTTCATTTTGAAAATAGTGAAAAGGATGTAAAAATAAGAAATTAGGACTACGGTAATACTGAAGATTTGAATTGACCCTGCAAAGATATGTATCATCAATTCATTGATATAAGGGTCAACACAGGACAGTCTATATAGTGGAAGAACATCACAGAAGAAGTGATTGATTTGATGAGATCCACAGAAGGTTAGCCTTAATAGAAGTGTTACATGAATCATGGAATGCCCATTCCCAGCTATGTAGGCGCCTATGATCATCTTAATGCAGAGTTGCTTTGACATCATGGTGTGGTACTGCAGTGGACTGCATATTGCCACATAGCGATCATAGGCCATTGATGTCAGAAGACAGCAGTCCACAGTCTCAGCAATGCAGAAAAAATAAAATTGTACCATGCATTCATGGAGAGAAATCATTCTGTCTTCAGAAAGGAAGTTCTGTAACATTTTGGGGATAATGGCACAGCAACAGCAAGCATCCATTATAGCCAGGTTGGCTAGAAAGATGTACATGGGAGTGTGGAGACGGTGCTCAATGAAGATCAATGACACTAAACCTAGATTCCCCACCATTGTGATGAGATAGATGGCAAAGAACACCATAAACAGAAGGGTCTTCAGATCTGGGTTGTCTGTAAATCCTATGAGGATAAACTCAGTTGTCAAGGAGTGATTGTCCTCAGTCATCTCTTGCTTCTCTGTTAAGACAAGAATTAGAAAAGTCTAATTTAGAGGGTTTTGAATTTTTCCTTCGAATATCTCTTAATCAACAGCAAGTAGAGTCACTTCTTCAAGTTCCTCTTGCTGTCTTTGAAATTCGGGCCCACATATTATTAAGGAGCACGAGCGTCCCTAAAGTATCATCTTTATATGACCTCAAGTGATGAAGCTCAAGATTCACAAGAACATTTTGAGAATCCAGGGAAATGTTTGCAATGAAAAGTTTTGTGTTTCTGAATGTATACAAAGATAACGAAAAATACGGGGTACTTAAATTTAGTTTTCTCAAATATTTCAATGTCAATTTTGGATTGATAATCCTTGAAATGTACTTAAATCTATTTTTCTGTACACACACACAAACACACATAGACACATAGATACACATGCGGGAACTTCTCACATTTTGTGGACAACTAGAATTAAAAGATAACAGACTTTTTTACAAAACTTTTTGAAGCCCCTTCATATATTTTTACAATGAGGAAATATTTTTCACATAGTATCCAAATAAAGGGAGCACAGTAGCTCAATAGGCTATGCACTGGACTTTGAACCACAAGGTCAGCAGTTTGAACCCATCCATTGATCCTCAGGAGAAAGATAAAACTAACTGCAAAGCTTTAAATCCTCATTAACACTATACAGGGTCGTTCTGCTTCAGAAACAACTTAATGGCACTAACAACAAAAACATCCAAGTGAAGCCAATATGTAAAAATATTATACTATAGGTGATTAAATTTATAATTTAGAAAGTGCACAAATGTCACTAGTATTAAGGGCACAGGCTATTAAAAGAATATAACCTTGGAAAGCTAGAGAAATAACAATTTATTGACATCCTTTATAAGTGGATTGGTGCATATCATCTTCATATTTCTATGAACACATTCTGCTATAACAGAGCAAAATTTCTGAGACTAATTACAAATAAAATATATTCCTACTTAATCTTAATACCATCTATTTCTAGAAATAGGACCTTTTCTTGTTGTAATATTATGAAAATGGGTCATCATTCTCTAACAATTACATATTATGAGATTTGATAAATATCCATTATGCCTCCTGTCCAACTTGTTTCATACAGACTTGTTCCAATTTAAAAACAGAAAGTTTGATTACTTATTTATGGTCATATTCTCTGGATAACTTCCTGATCAATTTTTCTTTGGTTGAGTTCACTGGTCATCACCCCACTATATTACCAGAAGCAAAGCTCTGCTGTCAGGAAGAATTCAATTATTTGTTGTTTCTAAGTTACATTCAAATTCTTTAGGGTGTCATTTAAGGTTTTCTGTAAATGATTTCACATCCATACTAATTTATTACCTGTATTCAACTATAGCTCAATTCTTTATTAGATTGCAAGTATTTATAGTTAATTATGACTCTGCGAAGGGAGCAGTAAAATGCTGTGATAAAAAGACAGAATTGATTCAAAGCAAATGATCTTGTTTTCAACATCCTATCAATAACACTGAGACATCTCTTTAGCCTCTGCAGATGAGATTATTAACTTAGAAGGAGAGTACAAAAGACATTATTCAAAACTCTACATTTGAAAAAAATTTAGGTGTCTTTTACCTATTTGAAATGCTTTTAAAAAAAATTGTTTAAAAGTACACATAACACAACTCTTACCAATTCAAGATTTTTCAAGTGTACAATTTAGTTACACAAATTACATTAATCATATCATTAAATTCTATCTAATATATTTACATTTCCTTGGAAAATGATAAATTTTATCACACTAGATTAACAAACAGCTTTAGATTTCTGTATTTGTTATTGCTAAGTGCCGTTGAGTGAGTTCCAACTCATAGTGATATACCCATATAGGATTTCTGAGGAGCAGCTAGTAGGTTTGAATAGCTGACTGTTGGTTCACAGGGCTAATCCTATAGCACTGCACCAGGAGGTTTTGTTTGTTTGTTTGTTTGTTTGTTTTTTAACACTTCTAAAAAGAGAAAACCATTTAAATCATCTTAGGATTTTTTAGAACACATTTTGGTTTGATTTTAAATGTTCACTCTCTAATGATCTAGTGATATCAAGTAGGATATCTCAGCTAAGAATGCTAATCATGCATATTCTATAGTCAATGGACTTGTTTTTCCATAGTTTTGAAATGTTCCATAAATAGCAAAAGGAAGACACTGGCTAAACATTTTATTTGTTTAACTAAAAATATTAAACATGCACTATCAGATTATTTAGCTAAATATTAAATAGCTTTATAAATACATGTATAAGAATTATTTGACATAATTATTTTGTGCCCTTACTTGTATGTTTAGAAATTTTACTTTGTCTTCATAAAAGTCTGGATGAATTACAGCACTGCATCTCACCCAAAAACAGTTTCCAATTTAGAGAAAAACTAGAAAGATAACCAAAGAGTTAAAATCTAAGAGCAATGTAAATCAGAAAATTTGATAAATAGATATTTACTGATATATATTAAAAGTAAAAATAAATTAGAATATTTCTGTTACCTGGATTTCTCTGAGAAGGACTAGTAACAACTTTTTGCTTACCTTAATATGTTAGAACTAACAGAATTTCTGAATATAAATAATGGTCTCTAAAACATTTCAGAAACAAAGAATGAAAATCTTGGAGGCTAGTAATACGTTAGTGACTATAATTACAGTGCAAAATTTGTATTCTATTCAATCCTGAAGGGAATATATTGAATTGACATCAGTTTACTTTTGTTGAAAGATTCAGTCCTCAAAACACAGAAACCATGTGGCATTAATTAAAGATGCTCTGTACGTCACTGTGGTTAAAGCAAATGACCCTCCCTAAAGTCCATGTTAATCAACTTGCTAATTATTATGCATCTGATCCAGTTTTTATACTCATATTCTGTGCAAAATATGTTAAATGGGCAAAAAGCAAACAAACAAACAAAAACAGAATAAGTCACAGATTCTTTTGGCCACTTATTGGAGGAAGTAGGTTTATTGTTGCTTATAAAAAATAATTAGGATTTGGTGAGTCCAGTCAGGATCTTTGGTCTTTGGTGAATTGAATCTATTGCATGCCATTCAAGTACTCAATGGAAAAAAACTTTGCTATTACTTTTAAATTCCAACAAATTAATGTGTGAGCAAGTGTGTGTGCTCTTATGTATATGCCCTCTCTTATCAGCTAGATGCTTCACTCTCCACTCTAGACCTCTGTGGCTATGTCACTGACTCTGGGCCGAAGAGTCCCCAAGTCTTGCAGCACTGCTGGCTGACCAGTTCTCTGAGATATCACAGGCATGCTTCACTTGTCTTCAGCCTATCAGTCATATGTCCCCTTCAGCCTCCGCCCTGCTTGGATAAGTGTTGCAGACTTTTAGCTAGTCTGTAAATGTACAAAAGACTCATTTCTGTAAATCAGTCTCCTGCTTGTAGACACTCAGCTTTACTCATCCCATGGACCAGGAAGCCTGTGGCTGCTGTCTCTCCATGCCAGTGGCTCTGATGCCACCCCTTTTCTGGGCAAGGATCTCACACTCTCCTTTCTAGAAGATCCTTGATTGTCTATTTC